GTAACTCGGATAATTCGATTCGACATTTTCCGGCTAAATTCGGAAAGTAGATGTCACATGACAGCCTTTGATGTCAACCTTTCTACTAATCATTTGCTATAATTAATGTTGTCAGACTGGCTAATCGGGTGGAAATTACCACAAACTACCCTGGAAAACGCTGTATCGGACTCTTGAGCCTATCCCGGTACGACGATTGTATCACACCTGTTTAACTCGGTGAAGACCGTTAAGACAATGCACACATTTCTTTGATTGATCTCACCCTAGCTTGCTTATGAGTATTATTAACGGTCCATCCCTTGAGAGATATACGGCTTGTGTCGCTTTGTGGGTGCATCATCATTCTATTTGTTATTTGGGCCGTGCCAAATTCTTTGGAAATTTTTAACAGCTCGGAACAATACGCACTACGCTGCTGTTCAGGTGCGCTATTCACATTGCCCGATAATTAAACTGTGAAGCAGATTCATGGTCATTATTTCAGAGCCTGATATAGGGATCAAGTTGAAATGTTATCTCGCCAGGACGATAATCCCATAATCTGAACTTAGATTACGTGTGAAAGCTGACAGTGAGTGCTATGATTCTGACGGGCTGCCACTTACGGTCATTATAAGAGCCATCGAATGTACGAATACGGGCGTCGTGGGATCACTCAGTCATGTCAGGTAGAGTAAACGATTTAACAGATAATGTGGTTGTAACTAACTATATAATTGCGCCACCACTCCAGGTTGACTGAAGCAATCGAAACTTAAATACTCGTTATAAAATCACATGATGAAGTGTTAGATATTCCAATTTACAATTCGGGCACATTTACATATAACTTATATACGCCAACAAATATACTATCTACTATCGTATGAGTGTAATGGTACTTACCAAGCCTATTCGACGTTAACCAATGTCGAATATTATTAAACGCAGATATCTTTAAAATTGGAATAGTCTTTCACACTATAAATATAGGCAGTCTGTGGCAATGCGAATATTTCGCATTCAGCGTTGAATAGATCCGTTGGTTGCAGTCTTTCGTATAGAAGTTCTCCGTTTCTTAGAGACTTTTGTGTCCTTCAAACAGACAAATAAAATCGAACAATTGGTGCACACATAAGTTCATTCGGGATCTCGTTAATCAAAACACAGCCTTTATTGTAGCAGTGTTATAGCGTACCGGTACATGTATAGACGCAAATAACAGTTGGAATTTCCACAAATAGGATTAGGGGGATGATCTTTGCACGGCAATCCTATTAGCCCAAGGATCAGTAGGTGCGTATTAACAGTCAGTAGTACCGGTATACCAGAAAGTCGTTAAATCCTTACGGGCTATCTCCGTTACTTGGGTTGCGGTGGGATTAGAATAGACCGAAAAACGACATCAAATACATGAGTGGTCTAGGGATTGTGTCTAACTTTCACAGGGGTGGTCTACGATGGGGCGTATATTTCGCACAAGCGTTCAAGGGATGTTGTGTACCATTCATTTTGCAGGGGGTCAGGCGGTTGTGTGTACCTTGCACATTGGGGGGGGGGGGGTAAGGAGATGTTGTTTACCTTCCATAAGGAATATATATATTTCACCAGGGATTTCGGGCAAAAAAATGCCCAATCTGTGTTCAAAACATAGTGCATATATACCCGTATTAACTACTGCCGCTCATCCGTTCCCGTCACAGAAAATTCTAGACCGAGTCGATCACATTATGATTTATTGGTACGTACACTATAAAATGTGGGTTACCGAAATGAAAGTACTAAATTGAATGAATTCATTTGTGTTTGAGGCATAGCCTTGATTCCACTGCGCTTTTCTTTTTTTTTTTTTTGAACTATTCTTAGCACAAATGTTATGACTTTCAATAATTTTAACGTTGGTGGCGCCCTGCTGTATTGCTACTTTTCTACTACTCCAACTACCAATGTTTGAGGGCGCCCTATACACAATTTGATAAATGGTAGGGAATTGACTAGAATTCAATTAGAGAATTGAAGACTTCATCTCGAAATGAACAAATTTGAAAGTGGTCCACCCAAATTACATATAAACCAAGTTTAAAAAACGGGGGGGAGGGCATTCTGAATGTTTGCTATTCATAGCCTTGCTAAACAACAGTCGTCTAACACTCCCTGTAGCAAGGTACCTAAAGAAGTGTTTTAAAATAAGACAGCAACCCCAGTAACAACCTTCTTCCACTATTTGAGTTTTGCATTTTGTTTTCTATCTATTGTAGTATCATAATTTAATCTTAATATATTTATCTCTTTTTTAAACTTTTGTATCCATTGCCAATCCCTCAGGGGAATGTGCAAGTGTTAATAAAAATTATTATTATTAAAGTTTGGACCAATTAGTGCTGAGGCCCGATGGCCATTCTGGACTTTTCCGGAACGTAGATTATCGCTCCTGTTTTTAGGAGAAATACAAGGTGATGGATATTCAAACAAGAGACATTGAAGGTGTTCCGAATTGAAAGTATTCTTGGGTGGCCAGAAATAAAGATACATTTGCTAATTTGTAAAATCACCCTCATTGGTGACTTACAATATACCATTTGCAAATGGTCCTAACATCTTGTCAAAAGTTATGAATAGTAAACTGTGTAGAGATATTCATCCTAGGAGCGGATAATCGTTTGTAGCTTGCATTTATTACTAATTTGTAATCACATGCAGCTATGTAAATAAAGTCATCAGAATTAACATTTTGAAATAAAAGAATTAAACACATTTTGAGTGTTTCATTGAAAATGGTGAATTAAAATTTTGACTACATAACAGCATTGATGTTTACTTTTCAAAAAGTTAAAAAAGTGAGTTTTAATCAAAATGTGTCTGAAAAGGTGCATCTCATCCTTTGAGTGACAATAGTTCTGAATCAGAGATTCTAGAAAGTGCTCCTGTCAGTGTGTGAAGTGAATGCAAAATCCTAACCATTTCTGTTTAATCATTGCTTATGTTGGTTGATCCACAGATTGATTCAAAAAGTATGATACACTATTTTCCAATCCACTTGTTTTTAAGTTGAAAATAGTATTCAAATTGGTTAATTAGTATTCATACAGAAAAACAGATAATCAACCCCACACAGTATGTACAAATATTTAATTTATTTGAGCTACTTTTACAATACAAAATAAACAAGCTGAAAAGTGAATCAGTATGTAAATGAGGTAATTAATATGGAAAAACTGATATCAAATTTTCATCCACACACAGCAAGCATGCACAGAAATATCACAGAACATACTGAAATTAAGTGTTATGCAAATTAGCTAATTAAAATGCACAGATTCATTTCAAACAATTACTTGCGTCTACACAAACAGTACAGACTCATGCAATTAATTTTAATTCATTTGAGCAACCTGCTTGTTCTAATGTGTACCAAATTTCATACAATCCACCAAGTAGTTCTTGTGATATGAGAGAGTATGAAATCACCTACTATTTGTACTCTGCTCTGCACACAAGAGCCAAAAACTGATTTTGGAGTTATAAATTTTGAAATTTTCAAAATAAAAAAGTAATGTATCTGTAGGATACAATCTAAAATTTATTCTTAATATATATATATATATCCACCAAATAAATCCATTCTTGAAATATATATAAATATTCATCTATCAAAATCATTTTTTATATTTATATATTCCTATACACATATTCACAATATAATTGACATTTCTAACAAATTAATAGTTAACAATATATTTTTTAAAAATTCATAACACTAAACTGTGGCTAAACAGACATTTAACACTAATTTGAACACAAAATATACATAAATAATCCAGATAATGTAAAATAAAGAAACATGAATTTTGATGAAATACCGGTAACTCAGTAAGAGTTTAATAAAAAAGGTTTTTTTTTATTGCAGCCATGTCACCATGGGTTGCTATAGTTATGGTAACTATGGAAAACTATAAACCAATCATGACATCCAAGCTTCAGTTACAAGATGAAAAAAATTAAATCACAAAATTAAAATTAAATCACAAAATTAAAATTAAATCAACATATTACAATTTGATGATAAACTGGTTAAAAATTTCTAATTTTGTGGATATATATTATATATAAGATATTTTCATAGATATTTATATTGTTTGATTCCAAATGAGCCAAACTTTTTGTCGAGCCACAATATTATTAAACCTCTGAGTCTATGCTTGATAAGATCAAAGCAATTTGTTCATGCATACATCAGATATTTTGGAAAAAATACTGTAAATTGCTAAAATTAGCCAGTATAAATTTTTCACGTTTTGATTAAATAATGACATTATTTGGTTTCCATACACAGGAGCCAAAATAAGCACATTTTGAAGGGACTATTTTATGAAAGGTGTAAGCACAAAAGATAACTGTGGTGGTGAAAGGGTTAATGCTGCTGATGAAAGGCTGAATGAAATTGAATTTATAGCATTCAATGTCAAGTGATTTTGAACGGATAAAATTAATTGTGTTATGTAGTATTGTGTTTTGTTTTTATTCAAGATTCATGACTTCATCCGCTATATCTCCCATCTGACTCTCCCTCAATGCTTTCTCTAAAGCAGCAGCAGTAGCATGATGTGCTTCTTTAGACATCCATGTCTGAAGCATTGAATAAATCTAGAAACAAACAAATTGAATGAATGCTTGTAAGTGATTTTAATTTGCAAAAATTA